CCTGATAGGCCCAGATCAAGAAAGTCAGTTCCCACTGGTTTTCCAGACGCTCTGATACTACCATCAAGATAGAAGATACCAAGAACATACCTTGTGGTGGGAATGCAGCATTGATCGCTCAAGTCTTTCATCAAGCTTCTTAAATAACAATCCACTGAAAAAGAGAGTAAGCACTTTGATAATCCAGCCAATGCGGAAATCAAGTACAAATATAAAATGTTACCTTTCCTCTGCTGTATCTCTTAAGGCGTCCATAAATGAATCAAACCGCTGTTGTGGATTTCGAGAAAAGGTTAGAAAGAGCTACAAAGTCCAGTTATATTAGAAGTTGTGGATCTCAAAGACATAGCAACAGTCACTTATTGGTTTTTTATTTAGTGTATGTGTTTAGACAACAAAGAACTCACAAGTCATATGCTTAGGAACATGCACATTTTATCAACTAGCAAAGTATAACAGATTGGTGAGGAAGATCTTTCTTACATGCAATCTTATATAATTGACTAGTTATTACAGGATCAAATAATTGATGTCATAGAACACACAGAAAATTAACATGAAGTGGGTTTCGTGGTTAGTCTACAGAATGACAGGGTGTTTTACAGGGTATAGGCAGCAAACAAGAAATTGTGAATGTTGGGTATTTACAACATAGAATCTTGGCAATCTGGTGATTAACATAATGCAGGAAGCTTCACGGAAGAACTTCATCTATATACAGATTCATTGCCTCAAAAATGTATAGTATTGTATCATGTTAATCATCCAAATGTCTGCTGTACCCAGAGACCCAGACTAAAGTTTTTGTGGTATGTTTGATTGTTAACTGTAGGTGCTAACATATTACCAGAATTTAGGCTGTTATGCATACTAGATTTAGAACAAGAAAAATACAGAACTAAGGACTTCAAGGCTTCAATCAATTTGTCAAACAATATTTCTTGGTTACAGACAAACCTTTCCCTCCAGTGCTTCGACTAAAGCTTGAGCCTTCGATGACAATTGCCCTGGAAGATCCTTCGCCTAATTTTTTTTTAACAAAAAAGAGCAACCCACAAAGTTAAACAAAATGACATTTTCACACAGGATTGACATATGGAAAAATGAAATAAGTGAACTGTACCAGAAAAGTACGCTCCGTAGTGCTGAGCTGAACATGCTGTTCTTCACTGCCTTCAAACTCCATTCCATTCTTCAATTTGTTGTCCTTATCCTATCGGTAGTTCAGTGCAAAGTACACGTGCTAGTCAGAGAAGTAGGTCACAAAACCTTTTAAACTATTCAGATTATAATTCATAAGGTAGTCACAGTTTCATAGTTCGTGGCGCAAGAAAGATCACAAGTAGGGAAGGGACTGTTCCAAGGGAAAATTAAAGCCAAAACGGATACATCACGAAATTATTTATGAATTATAATCTTGCAGGCAACCCCACTGTGTGAGCTTATAGAAGTTACCAGACTAAATAAAATCTTGTCGACTACTGGAGTACCCATAGTTCTTAGCAGATGATCGTGTAATATGCCCTGAAAACCAGAAAACAGGTAAATAAAAAGGACCTAAGTAAAGGCTGATAACGTATTGAGTATCAAGCAATGTTGTGAGAACAATGCCCGTAGGCTATAGCAGCTTACAGAGGTAGCAGGATCATCCTCAAACACATCTAGAGCTTTTCCATAAAGTTGCATATCGAGGACAGCCTGACGATGACAAAGAATAATACTGAAAAAAGTTAGATGATCTAGCACCAGAAGAGAAATGCAGGAAAGCAATTTAGCAATAGTGAACAATTTCAAGGCTATCCAGGAACTATATATTATAAAAAGAAAGCACAAAGTAATTGGGATGCAAAAGCAGATTACCTCATCCAGCTGCTTTTGCAGATTATCAAGCACGCTTCCCCTCCTTTCAGCATTTTCTGACGGCATGGTGTTCATTTTCTTCTTCCCTGCATCAATAAGCATTTGCCTCAGGTGAGAGGGCAATAATTTAATTGGGCCATTTAAGTCGTCTGAGCCTAATGTTGGTTTTAAAAGCGAGAGGTCTACTTGCTCGTGTTAGTCTAGCGACACGACGCGCGTGACCTAGCAACTATCGGAACGACGCCGGCGACCAAACCGAGCGGTGGCCGACGGTGGCGCTCGCGGAGATCGTGCTCCGAGGACGAAATCGAGGGGGGGAGAGGTTGGGGCTTTTGGCGCGGCTGCTCACCTGGTGATGCTGGCGTAGCCGAACGGGCGGGAGGAGGTCGGCCGGCGGCGAATTTGGACGGTGACGGCGAACAGACCGAAGAGGAGGAGGTCGACCAATTCGACGGCGTGGAGGCGTCCGAGCTCGAGGTCGTCCGAGCAGAGGAAGCAGTCGTGCAGTCGGGGCTCCCGGTCACGAAGAAAACGCTGGCGGAGCACGCTGGCCGCGGTGGCCTGCTCCGGCGATGCTCTGGCGCTCCTCGGTTCGCTTGGTGGAGAAGGAAACGGAGGGGGAGACCCACCTGGCGGCGGCGGGAGGGTTAGGATTTGGGTGGCTGGGGAGGCTTCAAGGGGACAGGAGAGCCGCGGTGGTTGCTCACTGATGTCGGCCGACGCACGCGTCTGTGGATCTCTCTCACTGGAGAAGACGCTAGACGAGAGGGCAGGTGGAGGGTCCAGCGGGCTTGGGCCGGCTGTGTGGACTGCGCACACTCTACTTGTGCACTGACATCCTGTGCACGGTGGGTCGGGCTAGAAGAGAGTTGCTCAAAAAAAAACTGAGAAGGGAGGGAGAGGGGTGGTGAAATTCTTCTTTTTCTTTTAAAGACAAAAAATAAAGGAGGCTCGGGTGGACCAACTCACTTCTGGCAGTTGTTGCAAGTCATACCAAGTCTGTTAGCCGTAACAAGGATGTGACTGCACAAATGGAAGAGGCCGGGTTCGAAATTTATCAAACTGAACGTGGATGCTTCTTTTCATGCAGAGGAGGAATCGGGTGCGACAGGCGCTGTCCCATGACAGAACGATAAAGGCCGCTTTATTGCTGCACAATGCAGATTCATTCATGTTTGTAGCATATGCAGCGACGGTTGAGGCTATGGCAATGCGTGATGGTTTAAATTTTGCAAACACTTTTGGTTTTTGACAGAACTGAAGCGGAGTCCTATTCCTTGAGTGTGGTGAACTACTGCCAAAGTGCCAAGGGCAAAATCAGTGGTGGGATGCAACAGCGGCAATCTTTGTTGAGTGCATTGACACGGCAACATCAATACGGAAGGTCGTCTTTTCGCGTTGTTTTTCGTGATGCTAATTCGATAGCTCATGAGCTAGCTAAATTCAGCTTTTGTAATAAGTGTGATGATAATTGGATTAATGAGGCCCCGGGTTTCCTAATCAGCCAATTAATGAACAATGTAATTATTGTCTTATTTAATAGAGCTAGCCATGGTGGCATTTTCCCGGAAAAAAGGAGGCTTGAGGGACAACATTTGGTGGGTCAAATGAATTCCAAAAGCCGTGAAAACTTAAATTGTGGTCTCTGAATCATTTCAAAGCTCCAAAAATTTATCCACGGTCTATTGGCAAGGCTTGGCATTTGTTTGGCATAAAAAGTAGAGGAAAAGGAATAAAGGGATTTAAACTAGAGGTTGGTCATAGGGTTAGGCTAAAATTATGAATAATTTGGGTAGCTCCCCAATATTAAAGGGAAAAGCTTCCGTCCAGACGTCGGATTGTATGTGGGATCGACTGGTCTTGTGCTCTTCTGGTCCCACCTTTCTCTAGAAATATCCAGCTTCAACCAGAGCATCCCTTTTCTTTCATGAGTCAACGCCAACACATCGTTATCCATCCACAATTTTCCACGGCTTCTTTCTCAAGCTCCTGATCATGGCGCTGTAACTTTTGTAACCTCGTCGCCTTGCCCGTTGCTTTTACTCCTACTGTCGCACTGCATTGCTACCGACGCTGCTACAAGGGAAGTGGTCGCTTCTGTAGGCAAGCCATCGTGTCCCTGGTGTTGCGTTCTCTCTGCAGTCTCGATTTCTTTGGCAACGGCTGCACATCAGCCTTTTTGTGGCCTGTACGGAATGTTAGGTGCCATGAACGACGGCCACGGCGGTCTCATAAACAATGACGATGAACGATGGCAGGTCGGCCGCGGCAACGTTTCTATAACATCATTTTCGTCGTAAATTTCTTTTTGCAACATGGTCTCAGTTGCAAAAGTTATTGGTAGCATGATCTCTGTTGTAAATGTTTTTAAAAAAATCTGCAACATCATCTATGTTGTGAAATGTTTCTGCAACACGAGCTATGTTGCAAAGGGTTCCACAACATTCCCTTTGTTGCAATGCAAGGATGGGGTTTGACTCTGACGAGTGCTGAAGATCCGTCGGCCAACGTGCGAGGTCTTGGGGTGATGATTGGTGTAGAACATCAAAAGGAAGATGGGCCAAATTAATTATTAGTGAATAAAACGTCACGTGCGAACGGCCCCAACGAGTTCCAAAACCTTGACCTAAAACGCCACGTGCGTTCGAATGGAAGCTTGTCTTGACAGGCGTTTGCAGCCTACTCGTACTCGGATGTTTCGTTTGGCACTTGGAAGAGAAGAATGTGTTTCTAGTTGATCACGAGATAAAAGGTTCTAGAAAAATGTTTGCTTGCAGTCATTGTTCGGAAAAGACTACTACCAGAGTTTCAAGGTGTTTATACCTCATACATGCTGTCAGTCGGTATTTGGTTGCTCGTCAAAAATTAAGTTGATTCTGCTGTCACATGACCCCCTAGAATGTACACGGTGTATTACACATGGATCCCTTTCCTTCAGAAATTGCGAAGGCAGAGGGCAACAAATGAGCTCACGGTGCAAACATGCAACCCACATACTACGCTAGATTCACTTGATGAGTGCGCTAAGTAGACCAAGTATCGCAGGGTGGCTGCTTGCATCCCTAGCTGATGATAGATAGAGAGGTCTGTGTATTTACAATAGGGCATGGCGTACCATGCACGCACACAATGTTTGCTGCTCACTCTTTGCTCGTGCCGAGGGCCAGGGATTTGAGTTCTGGCATCAGCCTCTCTTCTAGGTCTTCCTTCTTCTCCAGCATTCGGTCCGATGCACAATCGTCTTCCTGCAGGGCAAAGACGAGATGACGCATGATTGCGCAAATGATGAGCACAGAGCATATTACTTGATGTATATCAGAGGGTGTCGGGTAGATGGGGAAAGCACAGAATATAAATTAAGAGTACATGTATAGAGTTCAGTGCAGAAACAGGATAAAATTACGGAAACACTAGGCATGACAAATCGAGCGTTTTTCATGGCAATTCATGTTGGCGTGATGATGGCAAATTTAGTTTACAAGCACGTCAATTTCCTGGGAAAACAAATAAACTGAGGCGGATTTGCCATCCTTGGCACACATAACTTGCCATGAAAACGTTCGATTTGCCGTGCCTAAGAATCTGACATCAGATTTGTAGCAAAGTCAAAAAGTTATGGAAAGATAACCAACTAATCCTTTTATAATGCACACAACAGTGAGCAGAGATATATTCAAAAATGGTTGGAGTGGACTTACATCACCCGTGGCAGCAGCTTGTAGTGCGAGAACTTTCACGGTAGTGGCGTGATATTCAGTTAAAACCTTGAAGGTTGAAGCTGGTAGCTTGTCCTGAAAAATAGAGGATATGTATGATCACCCGGGCATGGATTTTGCTAAAGTTGACAGTATTATCTGAATGTGTGAAATAAGCCAGCATCACAGGCAGGCCAAAGCATCCTAATTCTGTAAGACTGCTATAAAACTAAAACCCAAGAGGCTAAGAAACTATGGCCAGAATGCAGAGGACTGCCAATCATCGATCGAAAAGCCGGCAGGATTTTGATGGCTAATTATAATATCTGGAAATACTGGCGGGGCCGTGGAGCGATATGCAGGAATTATAATATCTGCTATGCTGTTTGAACAGGTTATGAAAAGATCA